TATTCAATCCACGTGAAAAAAAATTGAATCCAATAATTATTTCTGGATATTTTATTGATTATTCAAAAAAATTCAAAGGATACATATTTTATTATCCTAACTATAGTATGGAGATACTAGAATATGGTAATGTAAGATTCTTAGAAAATGTTGAAATCAGTGGGAGTGAAAAATCTCGAAGGATCAATTTTAATATTGAGATTAAGATTAATTCTCCAGTATCATCTTCTATTTGAGAAATTATTGTTCCTAAAATCAATGAGAGAATTGATGAGGGTGAACAACAAAATAATATCGATGGACTCTCACATGATGTTGTTGTCGCCGTTGATGATCTTATAGAACAATCACAGTTGACAACTTTGAGAAGATCTTAAAGGAAAAAGAAATATTATTTTTTATGATTATATGGTATATCTACAATAATTAAATTATAATATAGGAATAAAAAAAGATATCTTATTGTCTCCACAAGTCATAGTAAGTAATAATTTTGAAAATTAGTATGATGTAATTAAAGAATAATTAAAATCAATGGATCAGAATGGTGTTTGAGAACTCGTTGAATTGCTAATTGTAAAAGAGTCGATTGTAAATGGATCTTTAAGACAAAATGCAACTCAGCAGATAATATCAAACGATATAAAGTCAGACTTGTGGTCAAAGATTTTTCTTAGAAAGAAGGCATCGACTATAACGAGACTTTCTCTCCAGTTTCTAGAAAGAACTCGTTAAAAATCGTCATGACATTAGTAGTTCATTATGATCTTGAGTTACACCAGATAGATGTGAAAACAATATTTCTGAACGGGAATCTGGATGAGGAAATCTATATGGAACAACCTGAATGATTCATAGAAAAAGGAAAAGAAAGTTGGACTTGTAAACTTAAGAAATCCATTTATGGTCTTAAACAAGTTTCCAAACAATGATATATAAAGTTTCATGATACCATTACTTTCTTCAGATTTAAGGAAAACATTATTGATCAATGTGCATATATTGCTAGTCATAGGTGCCATACAAGCCAATCACGTGAGTGATGATGATATGATATGATATGCATTCTTTTTGCTTATTATATTTTCATAATTTATCACTTTATATATATATATATATATATATATATATATATATATATATATATATATATAAGAATTTGATCGTGATGAGATCACGATAACGAGACTGATTCACCTTTAAACACAAACCCTA